GACATTTTGTGCGAGAGAGGGTCACATCACAAGAAGTGTGTCTTCCGTAYATCACATCTAATATGCAGYTYGCGGATATCCTCACCAAGGCTGTACCAAGGAAGAAGTTAGAGACAGACCTATCCAAGTTGGGAATGATAGATCTCTACTCCCAACTTCAGAGGGAGTGTAGACAACACTGATGTGGGCCCCACAGCAGAGGTCCCCACTATGTTCGTAGGACAGCACGTGTAGTTATTTGTTTTAGTTATAGTAGTGTCAGTTTGTTAATTCAGTTATTTATTTCAGTTTTTATTTACTTTATTTATCATGTAAGTACTAAGGGCAGATCTGTCCTTTTCATTATGTACTGAACATAACCTATAAATAATAAGAGAGTGGCGGCGGCAGATCTATTAGAATCTGTCCCTCCTTTCAACCCCTTGTGTTCTCCTGTTTCTCTTCTATTCCTTCTCCTTTCTCTCACTTTTCTTCTGTTTTGTAAACCTAAAACCTATTAGGATTCAAGACTGATTATAGTCTTGATCTTCTACTACTCTCCTCCAAAGGGCTTCCCTCTCCCTCCCAAACTTCCAAACCCACTTCCCCAACAAAGCTTTATTAAAGATTCCCACTTTCTCACTCCCAACCCCCCATCTTTTTTACGTCTGCAACTAAATCCCATTTAACCAAATGAAACTACTTTTTTCTTTCCACCCTAACATTCCAAAGAAAGTCCCTTTGAATCCTCTCAATCTCTCCTATCATTGACACGGGTGCCTTTAATAAAGAAGATAGTAAAATTGGCAAGTTTGAAAGAACACTTTTAATCTAAGTGTTTTTCTTCCTTCAAGCCTTCTCCAATTCCATCTTCTCTTTCCTCTCCTCCTTTTCCACTTTTCCTACTCCTCTCTCACCTCCCACTTTCCTAGCAACCTTCATCCTGTTGAAACATGGATCTCTTCCCACCATTACAATTCTCAATTGTTACGCTTTTTTGTTTTTTTTTTTTTTGTTTTTAAACCTAGCGGCTAGAACCCCCTATTTGCTAATATTGTTCATTCATTCATCCTAACAAGATATCTTCTTCAAAAACAATCAAAATTATAAAACCATTATTTTTGTGTGTGAGAATTAAGAATTTAAGACCCTAACATGGACTTGTTTGGGCTTGCCTCTAGGGGCTTGGTGCAAATGCGGCTCGTAGAATCAAGAATGCAATATGTTTTACATCACATTAGTTACTTGAAGTAATGTAATTGAGGAGAAAAAGAGTTTGTGAATTTTACATGCTTGAAAATGTTTTATATGCTTGATTTTATTTTTAAATTTTCATTTGAATACGCTTTACATGTTATGTTTATGTATTTTAATTTTAGATAACAGTTTTTTTAAAACATTTATTTTAAAATTAAAGTTTATATATTTATTAATATATATTTTTTTAATTCTCTGACATTTTTTGGCTTTTTTTTTGTATTTTTGTGCCTTGCACTTTTAAAACACAGTCTTCATTGCATCCTCTGTCTAAACTCTGAACCAAAATTCTAGCAAACTGCAACTCGCCCCAAAGGCGATTTCTAAAGTCAAATCTTCTAAATTTGCCTATTGCATTCCCTATTGCTTTGAACGTCTATGTGCTCCAAGCATGCAATGAAATCCCATATACATCAATCCACATGAAGTCCACCTCTTTTGAGAGTTGTCCACCATTTGTCCAATCTTAGCACTAGAAACCTATTGACTTTTCTCACTCAAATACTTTCTCCATATCATTTTTCCTCCTGAAACTAAAAAGAAACAAACAAGCACCTAATCTTCTCACTCCAAATCCTCTTCCATGCCATTCCATCGATGCGATGCCTAACCCTCCACACCGCTGATGTTAGGGTTTGAATCAATAAACCTTTCTATCAAACACTGATGTAAAACTTCTAGCCTCTCCTTCAACTTCCCAACGTTCATCACCGAAGCTCCCCTGTTCTCCATACTCCTTAATCATCAACATTCCTCACTGTCATTCCTCTCCATCATTCTCAGTCTCTCTCTCTCTACAACCGTTTCCTTCCAGAGTTCCCCCTGAGATCTCACCATTAGCTCTCATTTGCCTTGCTAGTCTTGTTTCTTCAGCTTTATGCTGCTTTGTATTTCAGCTTGTTTATCTCCCAGTTATTAAAATTTTTAATTAGCAAGGATTTATCTCAGGCTGTAATCAGATTGGATTCAGTTACATCTGCATCCGATCCAATTATTAAACCTTTGGATCCAAACCCAATAATAGTTAAAAATTTTTATTTTTAACCAGACTTAAATTTTAATTGGATTGGATGGGGTTATATTAACATCTGATCTGATTATTAATTGGATGCAAGTTCTAAGTTCTAACATCCAAATCCGGGATAATCTCAGACTTTCAAAGTCCATTGACAGCCCTAGGCTTATCTTCTTTTCATGACTAACAAATGCATTTCTTGATTGTTACTAATAAACATAAAAATCATTCCAGAGTCATTTATAATAAAAAGGAAAAAAAAACTGTCAGGACAGGAAGGTGCAGAAGCCCTCAGTACTTTTAAGGATGAATCAGGCAATGTATTTAAGTCAAAAGAACTGATGTTTATCTATTCATTTATTTTTAAGAAAGTTGAAAGCAATGGCATGTTATGCATCAAGTGTAACAGCAAAAGGTCCACCAAGAATAAATGCAGGTCTTCTGACATACATTTTCTGATATAATTTATAGGGTTCATGAAATCATATAAGCAAACACATAGGCTGATATTATTGTTTGAAACCAACAATCACAGTGGGGAAATATATGCATTGTATAGTTGTTAATTTCACCAGTAGCAGTAAGGGCATTTTGTGGAAAAATGGTCAGACAAGAAATAGCACAGTTATTGAATGCCACCACCAGGATTTTAACAATAAACATTGATAAATTAAAACTAGTGCAGAATAACTAGAGAAGACACACTAAATTTCAATAATATATCTCAATTGTGAAATTCCATAGAAAGTACCAATTGATAATTATTGCTGGATCCTCATGGAACTTTTGAAACTGTAAAGTTGTCCCAAGAACAAAGTATGAACCACTAAATCAATCATTGCTGGATCATCATGGAACTTTTGAAACTGTGAAGTTGTCCCAAGAACCAAGTATGAGCCACTAAATCATGTTTATCAAGAATTGGAGATATTAGTCAGACATTCTCAAAACAGAGTATAATCATAGTAGGTGTGAAAGATACATTTAAAGCAAAAAGCAAAAGATTCCCATATAAGTGCAATTGGTTTGCTTATTATCCAAGTGACAATGTGACTTGTCATTGATGCTGTTTTCAACCAAACATGAGAAACCACATGCACAGCAATGCAACATTCAAGCTCCCAGACACCAAATAGTAGTGGAATTTTACACTTATCTCCTAGCAAATAAGCATAAACCCTAAATTCATGTTAACCAGGAGTTGTAGAATATCACATAGTTGGAAAAGCCCATGTCCAAAGTCATATAATCACAAAGGAACAGATGCAAAGACGAAGAGATTCTCATTCAAGTTGCCCGACTGACTTATCATCTATGTGACGATTGCCATTGTTGATACTGTTACCAACCAAATGATGAAGAAGTACACCTGCTGCCACGCTAACATTCAAACTCTCAACAGCCAAAAAGGACTGGAATTCTTCACCAGAGTATCTCTGGTCTATCTCTTCAGTTTTCTCATTAATATCAACTCTACCTGCAGATATATCCATGGGAATATTTCTGGGGATTTTAATTAGTTCAGTACAAGATCTCTCTACCAGAAGCCTCAACCCAGTGCCTTCGCTTCCCAGCACAAGAATTGTGGGTCTACCAGGCAATACCTCATTCAAAGGAACAGCCCTTGAAGAAACAGAGCCTCCAAGTACCCGCCATCCATTTTCAGCAGACAATGTCAAGAACTGCATCATATTCTTGCAAGACCGCAACTCCATCAATTCAAGTGAGCCAGCACTTGCTTTGCTTACTACTCCACTCAGTGGAGCTGAATTCTTTGCACACAACACCACCCCTGCAGCTCCAAAGAAATATGTGGAGCGAATAATGGCACCTAAATTTTGGGGGTCTGTAACCTCATCCAATGCAACCCAAAGAGGACCATTCTCCCCCTCATCGGGAACAGAATCCAGCTCCTTAATGCCTACCATCTCCAGTGGGGAAGCATCTAAGACCAAACCCTGATGTGGACGGTTATCCACAATCATGTTCAGATCATGTTTTGATATTTCTTTTTTGGTCAATCCTATTTTTTCAGCTATTCTCAGAATCTTCTCGACTCCTCTCTTGTCCTTTTTCTTCCTGTTATTGCCACTTAAATCCAAACCTTCTTGGACATACAGTGCATAAAATTCTCTCCTTCCTGCTGATAGCGCTGCTAAAACAGGACCCACTCCATATACTCCTTCGCCGGTCATCTTTGGTGTGATTGATGCAGTAGCCTCTTTCCATGTCTTTTTACCCCAACTTTCCTGTTTGTTCCACCTACGAACCTTAGGGTCTTCATATTCAGCATCTATATCAGTAATTCTCTTGTACCTACTTTTAATTTTATCCCATCTTGGATCATTAACAATATCAGCATCTTCCTCTCCTGCTTCCTCATCTTCATTCCTTTCCATAGAACTACTTCCACGGTTTCCCATCATGCCCGCCGTTCTACTTTTACTATCCCAACTCATAAGAGTAGTCTTTCCACCATTTTTCAATAAAAAGTTGTTCGCTGATTCTTCCCATGAAGAGCGATTACTTTTCCCCGTCAGCACTTTCTCTGACCTTTGAGCTTCCTTATTCTTGTAAGCTGCTATCCAAGGAAGGGTTTTCCTAGCTCTTAGTTCGTTGTTACCTTCCAGGGCATCCCGAGAAGACCTGCTTGAGAAATTTCTGTTACTTATTGAACTGACATTTTTCAAAGCGTTGTTTGGATGAAACCCATTTGAAAAACATCTGGGTCTAACTTTTCGGCTCTGTTCTGGAGTTTCCTGACCAAACAGCGTCAAGGAATCTTTGGGTTTTCTCGCTACATGGAGGGTTTCGAGGGTTTTCTGACTAACCCCATTTGAGAGACTTCCTAATCCTACTCCTCTGAGCCCTTCTAAGGACTTTGCATTGAACCCGTCGGAGAAAAATTGAGCCTTGGGGCTATAAGAAGGTATAAAGCACTTGGGTGGCAGAGAGACCCTAAATACAGACGGAAATGCCTGGCTCTTTGTGAAACTACAGTACATTATCACAACTAAAAGATGGACCTTATAGTTCTTCCCACCAAGAGATTACACAAACTTGAAACAAGGCCTAAGATAGGATAAATGGAAGACCTTATAGTTCTCCAGCTTTCCCACCAAATAAACGACACGAGAAATGGAGACAATCTCCGTCGCTCACTCATCACTCCGCCTCACGGGAAGAAGAATTTAAGAGGAGACCATCATTTAAAATGACGAAAATACCCTTAATAGCCGCATTTAGTCGATTTAACTTTGGCTGCCGGAGGCCAACAACGTATGCTGTTGAGAACGTTTTTAGGATGGACACGTTCACCAATTTACGCCCATATCTATGTTGTTTATGATTAAAAAGTAGGATGCAATTACTAATTTACCGATTCTACGATAACGTGGCAATACTCTGTTGATCCAACAGCCAAAGTTTTTCCCTAGGCAATAGTGATTTTTTCCCAAGTGTACAATATAAAGGATACATTGGTCATTTCGCGAAAGTCTATCTTTCGAGAAAGAGAAGAAATTCCACCTTTCCAAACCAGGGGCTTCCCGTTGTTATTCCGCAGCACCTTTCCGTTCCTTACAATTCCCAATATCCTCCGGTTCTCTTCTCGCCCAGGACTAGGGTTCTCTGTTCTCCTTCCAACGAATAAATATCGAGAGAACCTAAAAGTTTTTTGCTTGTTATCCCGATCCGATGGGAACCCCGGAGACATCTAGAGAGCCTTGCCCGGACCGAATCCTGGACGACATCGGCGGTGCTTTCGGCATGGGCGGTGTCGGCGGCTCGGCCTTCCATTTCTTGAAAGGCATCTATAACTCTCCAAAAGGCGAGCGCGTAGTTGGTGGTTCTCAAGCGGTTCGCATGAACGCTCCCCGTGTCGGCGGCAGTTTCGCCGTCTGGGGTGGTCTCTTCTCCGTCTTTGACTGCTCAATGGTCTATATCCGCCAGAAAGAAGACCCGTGGAACTCGATCTTCGCCGGTGCCGCCACTGGTGGGTTCCTCCAGATGCGTCAGGGTTTGGGTGCGGCTTCGAGGTCGGCGTTGTTCGGCGGGGTATTGCTTGCTTTGATCGAAGGCGCTGGGATCATGCTTAATAAGGTCCTCAGTGCTCCTCAGAATTTTCCTCCAATGATAGAGGATCCATTGCCGAATATGGCTGGTGCCCCTGGATATCCAACGGTGCAGTTGCCGAGTGTCCCGGCGTCGCTAAATACTTCATCTGAGGGGTCCTCCTCCTCTTCTTCTTCTTCTTGGTTTGGGGGGTTATTCGGTGGTAGTAACAAGCAGGAGAAGGGGCCTAGCAGTGGTGGTGGAAGCAAGACGGAGGTCTTGGAAAGTTTTGATACGCCGAGCACACCCATTCCATCCTTTGAGTACAAGTGAGACTGATCATGGGGATTCTTTAGTGGTAAGAGAGATTTTGTTGTTTGTTTTTTTGAGTTATGATTTTGAGCTGGCGCTCTTGTTAGCGTGAATTTTTATAGTAAGAGTTGTAAAGAAGGCATGGTATAGTTCATCATTTGTGCTACTAACTGCGTTACTGTTACTTGGTTCCTTATGAAAGTGGGCACAATAAAAATCAACTCTTTTTTTCTTGTGTTTTTCTTTAGATTGATTGATAATGGTTCTTGTTTGGAGCTGTGGATCATATGTTAAGAACTTGAGGAAAGGTAATTAATTGTTATTTGTTAAGAGTAATTAAAATTAGGGATGTAAGATGAGAAGATCAAAGAACAGGAAGCTTTTGAACATGCAAGGTCAAGAAATGTTTGTCATCTCCATGAGGTGGGATGTCTTTACCCTACCCTGTCCGAGGGATGCAGTCACAAAACCGAGCCTGCTTGGGTTGGAATGATCACTTTGGATTAAAGTGGTTAGAGTGGGTTTGGATTGTGTTGGAAGATGGACATGCTTGGCTAAATGGAACGTTTATTGATTGGAGTTGGCCTATTTGAATCCTTTGTAAGATTATAATATTAAATGAAGGCTGGGAGCTGGGTACATGAATGGATTGGGTCAAGAGTTGATGTGTTAGAGATTTGTCTTCCCCAAGGGATCACCGCGATGGGAAGATATGGCTTTTTGAAGATCTTGTAATGTTCATACATGTAAAAGGGATGTGGGAATGGCGATTACTTCTAGAGGGTAGTACATTGGTCTGGTCAAACTGGTATATGTCCTTGATGGTAGCAACAAGTTTGTAAGAAATTTAGAACGTTAAGAGTTTCAGAAGAGTTTTTATGTTATAAAACCATCACTAGATAATTACTTAATTTATTATTGTTATGTTATTGGTGTTTCTTCCTTGGAAAACGAAGAAACAGATTTTGTAAGTGGCACATTTAATATTTTTTGAGAAGGTAAATGGTATGTATTGTATTATGTGAGTGTATTGCGTCTGGGGACACAGGTGACAGGACTCCTGCATTGGGCATGGGTCCCCCCCAATCCACTGAACTCATGTTTTGAGGAATTGACTAGGTAGCATCGATTTTCCATCCAACGATGCTTCAAATATATGGAAAAAACTAGCTTCAAAGTTAAAACATAATTATGGGCTTGCAATTAATTTGAATAAATTGTATGATTCTTATGGCAAGGGGTAAGGAAATATTAAAAGCATATTCATCTTTTGATATTTTTCATTGTGCTCTATATGTTTGACTATTAATGATCTTTAGATTAGTTTGATGCAAGAATAGATGCCAGTACATGGATAGATGAATGTAACAGGTTGGAAGGATTCCAGGGTCTTGAGCCTTTCATAATTGTGCGACACTTAAAGGACCTCATTTTTTCCTGCAGAAATCCTCTTTATTGATTGTCTTTCTAATATTTTATATATGCCAATTTGTTCATTAACTACTTCTTAGCTATCTCGTTTTAGGTTCAACTGTCCTGTAGAAATTCCTTGGAAATGCTGTTGAACAAAGAAAACGCAATAAGCATGTTTGCAATACCCATTAAAAATACCAATATTAGGAACACATTTTACAAAAAAAAAAAAATTATTAGGACACGCTTTTCCCGAATAAATTTTGCATATACTGCCCATCTCTTAAAGAATTCCACATTTTCCACCTTCACTCCCTCCAACTTCTGTTGACATTCATTAATGATAGTTAGTATTGAATTTTCTCTAAAGGAACTGGATTGAAACCCACTCCAGCTTGTAACTATATTGCGCGGGCAAAAGGGCATGCCACAAATAGATGGTATTCCATTTCCTCCATTCCACACACCTCACATTCTTTCTCCTTCCTTGGTTTCCTTCTCCATAAGTTATCTTTGGTTAGTAATCCCCACCCATACACAATTTTCATAGGAACAAATATTATTCTAATGTTTACATTAATCTTCCAAATCTCTCTCCATACATCAGCAAAAGGCGAGCTCTGTCCCTGACTCCCTGTCCCCTTGAGCTTTTATAAGCTGATTCCTTTTTGTATTGTCCCCCTACTTCTTGCTTCCACATTAGTTGGTCACTATTTTGCACTTGACTAGGTAACACACTTAGGATTGCTTCACTTTCTTCCCCTTCAAACCATTTATCCACCAACTCTCTATTCCAAAGGCCTTGGTCTGTTAACAAGTCTTTCGCTTTTATTCTTGGCTTTTGTAGTTTCTCCTCTGCTTTCCCTTTGGTTATGCCGTATGCCTTCTCTTTGGGTATGCTGTATGCCTTCTCTTTGGGTATGCCGTATGCCATCTAGTAACAATGGTACCCATGGCTCTTCAAATAGCCATGTATCTTTGATCTTCCCCATCTCCTATCTTCCAAATGAGGTTATCTTTCAGCTTCTCCTTAACTTTCAAGATATGCCTCCACCATAGAGAGTGATTTGAGGCCAGTTTGGCGTCATACCACATTGCGTTCTACAAATGTTTTGCCTGTATGGCTCAGGTCCACAGCGCTTCCTTCTCATTCATTAATCTCCAAAACTGTTTAAATAGTAAGGCTTGATTCCATTCCTTCATAGACTTCAGTCCTAAACCAGCCTCTTCCTCAAGGACGGGTTTTTTGGGTAAAAGACCTGTGGTCATTTGTTAAACAGGCAGCACTTGGGCTACTGCTTGCACCAAGGTCGTTCGGGCCTCTTGTGACAGCAATCTTGCTTGCCACGCTTCCACCCGACTTTGAATTCTTCAGAGGATTTCCTTGTATGCTTCTATTCTTTTCTTCCCCACCACGGTCTTTCTCCCAAATACTTATCATTAAAACTCATCTAATTGAGACTTATAAAAGCCCGCATTGCTCTCTGTTGCCTCCTTGGAACGTTGTTATTAAACAATATTACTGATTTTTGATAGTTAATAAACTGTCCGGACACCGCGGCAAATTGTTTTAAAACTGTTTTGAGCCTCTTCAGTTGGTTCATCATCTGCAAATAACAAGTGAGATATGGGTGGTGCTCTACGTGCAATTTTCACTCCTTGGCTTTTTTTTTTTTCTTTTTTTTTTTTGTTGCTTCTCATCCAACCTGCAGTCCAATAATAAATAAGTATGGTGATATTGGATTACCTTGGTGTAGGCCTCACTTTGTAGTAAACCCTTCTGTCTTGCCATTAACAATTAAGAAGGAGCTTGTCGTGAGACAGTGCTGTATCAGCTCCTGCATGCAATTTTCACACCTTGGCTTTTTTTTTCTTTTTTTTTTGTTGCTTCTCATCCAACCTGCAGTCCAATAATAAATAAGTATGGTGATATTGGATTATCTTGGTGTAGGCCTCACTTTATAGTAAACCCTTCTGTCTTGCCATTAACAATTAAGAAGGAGCTTGTCGTGAGACAGTGCTGTATCAGCTCCTGCATGCAATTTTCACTCCTTGGCTTTTTTTTTTCTTTTTTTTTTTTTTTGTTGCTTCTCATCCAACCTGCAGTCCAATAATAAATAAGTATGGTGATATTGGATTACCTTGGTGTAGGCCTCACTTTGTAGTAAACCCTTCTGTCTTGCCATTAACAATTAAGAAGGAGCTTGTCGTGAGACAGTGCTGTATCAGCTCCTGCAAGTTGGATGAGAAGCCCATCTGCTCCATTATTTCAGTAAATACCCCCATCCCATTCAATCATATGCCTTAGACATGTCCTGTTTAATAGCTAACCAGCCCTACTCCCTCTTCTGTTGCCTCATTGTGTGAATGACTTCACCGGCTAGGATTGCATTATCTGCTATCAAGCGTCCCTTAATAAAGCCTGCTTGATTAGGGGAAATGATGTTTATGTTAAGACCTTACACAAGGAAAATGGCCTAAGTTGATCTGTTCTCTCTACTTCCTTTTTTTGGGGTATGAGCATAGCATTTGCAATTACATCATATTTTTCTATTGACAAGACCCCCCCCCCCCTCAACTAGTGCTATGCATCTTTATTCTTTTTAATATAAAAGATTTTGATTAAAAATAAAGAAAAATGACATCCTCTTCCTTCTTCTTCCTCTTTATCCCCCTCTTAAGGAGGTTTATGCCTCTTATGTTCTGAGTTACACCTCATGCCTCTAGGTAGTAGAATGCCTTGTGTCATGCTTACACGTTTTAAAACATTGTTCTGTATTGTTTCATTTCCTGCACTGCTTGACCATCATATGAAAAAATCCGGTGTTGCGGTCTCCATCTTTCATCAACAGTTGGCATGACTTCATCCGCGTCTGCTCCTCACGTCTCAGCCACTCTTCCGTCTGTTGCTCTGTTTGCTTCTGCTCTTCGGTACACTGTTGACTTTGTGGTTGCTGAAGCTGCCTCTCCAGTTGCATCTGCAAGTTTTGATTCCTCCGTGTAGTGACCGAAAAGAGTCTTTATTCCACCTCTTCAGGTTGTCTTTCTCTTTCAGCTTCCGAAGTTTAGAAACCACCACATAGGCTGCATGACCATTCAAAAAAAAAAAAAAGACCATTCATGTTAGCTTTCCAATTTTGTTAAATAATATGTTCATTATCTTCCTTTTCCGCCCACAAGTGTTGAAAGAGAAATGATTATTTTTTAATTATTTTCTTGTAGGTGAAACAGGTGGTCTGAACCTGCAACTGAAAGGTGCCACACTTTTGTTTCTTTGAATAACTCCCACCATTCCCCATTGCCCCACGCCTTATTTAATCACTCTTGACATGCCCCACCCAGTTTGTTTATTGGACCAAGTAAATTTTGGTCCTATAAATCCTAAGTCCATTAAGCCTCTTCCCATCATGAAATCATGTAGATTTTTGGAAGTTTTTGAGCTATTGCTTTGACTGTACCCCTCGTACTCTTCCCACCCTACCAGGTCATTAAAAACCCCCATTTTTAGCCACGGTAGGTTTCTATTATTACCTGGTAACCTAAGGTTTTCCCAAAACGCCTTCCTATTTTTCTTAGCAGCTGATCCACGGCACGGTAGGTTCCTGTTATTCTAGTTCTGTTCTTTTTTTTTTTTTTCCTTGTAAAATTTAATAAGATGATTGGATCTATTTCCAAAGACGGTGATGGTTACATCTTTTTTAGAACAAGTCTTGTGGTTAATGCGTTTTATGTACTTGTGACAGAGAGCAATACTTTTGAATGTGATGTGATGGATACCATATTTCTTTCCCATTCCTTCAATGCCACGAAGGAATGAACCACAAGGCCATTTGTTGTTTGTCGACCCTGGCCAGCAAACGCTGTTATATAGTTCTGTCCTTTTGTTGGCTCCCACAACAAGACCTCAAATGTTTGCCTAATGCTATTACTGCTTATATGCAGAGGAAAACTAGCACTAATTACAGCGAGATTGACATTTACCCTTGAGTGCAAATACAAATACGTTAAATGCAAAATCTAGGTGCACGAATCCTGTTTCAGCATTCAATTCGATCAAGAGACATATATTCTATTCAAATCCTTATTACTTGTTTCAAGATTCAACTACTGTCAATGTTGCCTTACAACCTTCCTTAAGCGCTCATATAACAACTCCTGCTTGCATCAAATCATTTCTTAGTGGTCCAATGGCTAATTGTCTATTTATTGGTAGCACATATCTTCTTTTTTTCTCTTATCAGGGCTACTCCTGGATTATCGATAATACACTTTGTTTATGCACAGTATACGCTGAAGGTGAAAAATCTGTCCATCTTCAATGTCTTTTGAGATGTTTCTATTTTCGAAAATGTTCCTCCTTTCTTTCTATGTTGGTGTTTGATACCATGGCGAGTTGAAGTTCAATGTTTGTATTTGATTTTTATCATTGGAAACTGTGAGTATAGTGTTTTATATATAGTTTTGCACTCAACTTTTTTTGGTTAAGATTTTGCACATAACTCAATGCGCAATAGTTTATTATGGTTTTTAGTGTTAGGCACTACCAAAGTGAAAACTGAAAACTGAAAACGCCCCTATTGAAAAACAATGACAAAAACATGTTTCCCATCCACATGCGCATAACCCAAAAGTAGGGGGTGGTACGAATGTTTGAATTTTGGATCTACCACTCTACCAGCCAAATATGATTCCAGTAGTGTGCTTAGATGACATTTAAATAGAAATGCAAGAGGCTACTACGATCACAAACACCACTACGAGTCCAGCGAATCACAATGCATGGAAGTCTTAAAATGGCTACACAACGTTAACGGTCACAAACACCACCTATGTGATCCAGTAGTTGCCTCTTAGGCTCAGTTAGGACGGACTACAAATACAAAAATGTAGTGCAAAATCTTATATTTTGTATTATTTAAGTTTTATTTTAAGGTTTCTCCCAATACAAAGTGTTTATTTACTATTCCGCTGATGTGGTGTTTAATGGTGCATAATGGTGTTTAGCTTGTCAATAAACACTAGAAAAACGTTTATCAACCACTTTTTCTTGCAAATAAATGAAGTACAACAGTTTATTTTATGACATCCATGGGTTGTTTAACCGGTGGTAGCAAAGGGTGTCCTTCCACACACAAAATACGGAACTGGCTTTGATGAAAGAGTACAACTCAGATCTGGTTTGTTGGTGATCGGATATCATTCACACCCCTACCTTGAGATCACATGGGTGCCCCACAGCACATCCTAACCATGTATTGGGAATCTCCCAAAGATTAGTATGAGAGATGGTCTCAATGCATGCTGAGATATGCATGTGGGGTGCCCATTCTGTGGGGCGTTGATGTGATTTCCTTCGAGTAAACATGGGCGTCCCACACGGCACACCCCACAGCACATCCCAAGTCTCAATCATGTATTGGGAGCATCTCCCAGTGGTAAGTAGGGAAAATGTTCTCAATGCATGCTGAGATGTGTAGGTGGGGTGCCTATCCTGTGGGACACTGATGTGGTCTCCCCTAGAATTGACACATGGGCACCCCACAGAGCATGCTCTACAGCCCATCCCAATTGTGTATTGGGAACATCTCCTAATGATAAACAGGGAAATGTTGTCAACACATGCTGAGATGTGCATGTGGGGCACCCATCCTGTGATTGTATAAATTTATTCAGAATTCTTGTTAAAAAAAGGGTTCTACTATGATATGGAAAAGATATGATATCTCCCACCAAAATTTATGGGTGGGTTTTAATTGGTGAAAACTCTTCTGATAGATACCATGTCTTTCCCGTATCATGGATTTTAAAGAAAGAAATGTTCAATTAATTAGGCTAATTTCCCTTAACAGTTCTCTAATAAACCTCACCCAGTGACTATGTATCATTGTATCTAATTATTCAGCAGTGAACAAACTAAGAAGAATTAAGAAACCTCCTCTACTAGTTGGGTGTGGATCAGCTACCCATAAATTCTTCCCTGGTCCCAACAAGCCACTGTGGTCGCATATTGGAAACATCTCCTTTGTCGTTCATGATGAGATATAACCAACCGCTGCAATGGTTACATGGGACACTTTCCGGACTCCCCACAGTACACCACGGGCATGCATTTAGAGATTAATAAATGCATCCCTTGATTCAGATTTATGAGGAAATATTCCTAAAACAAGGTGGGGTAGTGCCTTGTGGATAGAGATATGTGGGTGAGAGATCCAGAGTGCTACCAGTCGATCGCAGACATCATTAATAACGGCAACAGCTCTCTAGCAATCTTACATTAATCAACCAACTTTGGAAGTGGACCAAGTGATGGCCTCTACACTTTACCAGCGATAGAACACGGAAAAGTACATACCAAAATAGTTGGCGGTCTAGTCGTAGGACGTAAAGTGATGGCTGGGTCTGGGTCTGGGTCTGGGTCTGGGAAACATGGAGAGAGAGAGAAGAGAGAAACAGATAAAATGAATATACTATATCTAGCCTGTAGAACCGGATGTCGTGGTAGTTCAGTTAACAACTTCTACGTGTTGCATGCTTAAAACAAAACGCATAGATGTAGATGTAGTTCAGTTAACAACTTCTAACAATCCTGCATAGAGATCTAGAGAGAGAGAGAGAGGTAAATGCCAGCCGGCCACGTGGTGCCAAGTTTATTGTGTTTCCTATAAAAGAGCTTCTTCTCCATTTCTGTCTCTCAGTACTGACTGTATCTTCATTAGAGAAGGAAGAGCGAGAGACAAGTATGAAACGTGAAGCTTCTCTTGGGGTGGATGAGAGTGGAGATGCCTCCGGAGTGGTTTCTCAATCACGCTTTGATGGATGCACCCGAGATGTTAGAAAGGACGATGATGGGAGGCCCTGCAGAACTGGTTCTCTCTCTCTCTCTCTCTCTCTCTCTCTCTCTCTCGTTATTAATCTGTATCATAGAATTATTTCATTCTGCACCTGCATCTCATTTAATTTCCATCATCTTCGGATCTATTTGAAATACACCATCATAAGCCACAATACGTAAATAATGGCCCCCACTCAACAACCTGGAGCTCTGGTTTCACATGTAAAGATCATTTCTGTGTACAGATTTGATCTGCATGTGGTGTCATTCATGGGCTCTCTACGGTGTGGTCTCTCCTCCGTGGATATGTTGGAGTGTATCACTCATGCATGGGAAAGACAACGGAAAATTGGCTTTGAGGACGCGAGTCCGGATTTGTTGGAGTGTAGTTGGACCAGGCTCCGATTGGGTAGCTTGAAAATAAGAAACTCAATATTTCAAACCCAGGCCCAGCCTGTGGACTGAAAATCCAAGTCCTGTCTCAGGCTGGGATCATCCAAGTTGGGATTAGCTGCACTTGATGGCTGTATAACCAATAATAACGCCCCCATATCAACCACTCCGCTCTCATTTATCAATTCTCAATTCTCAATTCTCATGCATGACTAACGTGGTGCTTTGTGTGGAAGTAAAAAAAAAAGGAACAAATAAAGAAATCCACCTCAATTTATATGGAGCTGTACCCAACAATAACAGCAATCAACAGAAAACACAATAGATGTCTAAAAGCCATTTTAAAAAGTAATAGCGCAAAGGTTGAATAGGAAGAGAATTTAGTAAGAAGAACTTGCTATAAAATAAAAATTTTTGCAAAGGTTTTGGTTCTATTCATATCATCTGTTTGAAAAAGTGATTTGTTACAAATTGAAGGGTTAAAAGAGTTACGGACAGACCAAAAAAAGACTTATTAAATGAAAGTAATAAGAAATGATTAAGCGCCTATACTCATATAGATACGATAGGACAAGGCTTAAATGATGATGATGATTTTTGTGTAGACTCTATAGTTGTGAACATAAATATAAATTTAGAAAAGCCCATATCAGAAATTTTTATTGAATTTATTTATCTATTTCCTCTATAATACATGTATGACATTTGTTATAATCACGACTCATAGCTCATCTACCTAATTAATTAAGTCGGGTTCTTGGATTGTAGAAGAGTAAAACAATCTCATTACTAATTTAGATCAAATAACAGGTACTGTATGGACAGCTACTGCACATATAATAACGGCAGTCATAGGTTCTGGTGTCCTCTCATTGGCTTGGGCTGTTGCGCAGCTTGGATGGATTGCCGGGCCGGCAACCCTTATCGTCTTCTCCTTGATTACATTGTACACCTCCTATCTCTTGGCAGATTGTTACAGGTCTCCAGATCCAGTCTTGGGGAAGAGAAATTACACTTATATGGAATCTGTGAGAAGCAATTTAGGTATGTAATCGTGTAATTAATTTGTAATGCTGCACAGTCACTACTGATCACACTACTTACTAGAATTGAACCAGTATCACTACCAACATTGCATTGCCAGTTGCCACCAACCATCTTCCTCACATCTGGTCTGGGCAATAGAAAAGAAAAAGAGTAGAAAGGAGATGATTCCCATTTCCACTATCCTATTCTTACTACTATCTGAATTGACGATTTACTGTCAGGTGGAACAATGCACTTGATTTGTGGAATTGTACAATATGTCTACCTTGTTGGCACTGCAATCGGCTACACAATCACTGGATCAATAAGCATTGCGTAAGCTTCCCTCTCAACTTACTCTTGAATAGAACAAAGGGAATTAATAACAAAAGCTTATTAGGAAATGAGATACAATGGCTCTCTCCCTCTCCCTGTGTTGTGCATAAGAATTACAATAGTTGATTTAATCCAAAAGCTTAAACCATGCATTAGGTTGTGGGGAAATTCTGAATAAGCCATGCACATTGAACATGCATGTTGTATCGGCGGTATGTTTTATATTGCTTACACTAAAAGAGCTAATGGTGTGCATTTTTCATTGTAATCAGGGCCATATACAAGTCCAATTGTTTCCACAAAAGAGGTCACGACGCTCCGTGCTTGATCTCCACTGATCCGTTCTTGATCACATTCGGGATCGTTCAGATAATTCTGTCCCAGATTCCAAACTTTCACAAGCTGTCATGGCTCTCGACACTTGCAGCAGTTATGTCTTTTGGCTACGCAGCAATTGGAATTGCACTTAGCATGGTGAAGGTCATCTCAGGTCAGCCCCTCGTGCATCCTCACAATTCCATGGTTACAAGCATATATGTATATGTATATATACATACATATAATTAATTCATGACTTCTTAACTGCATTGCCATAAAACCTCAATACATGAACAAGTTCCTCTAATTTTGATTAAGAGTGGAGGACTTGTATTAATTGACATATACACCAATTGCAGTAGATATATATATGCTTTTTTTACTTGAATAATAACAATTATAATTGTTGGGGATTTGAACAGGAAAAATAGGGAAATCCTCTCTGACGGGAGTGGAAATTGGGGTGGATGTAAGTGAAGCTCAGAAAGTATGGAGGATATTCAAAGCACTTGGAGACATAGCATTTGCTTACGTATACTCAGTCATTCTGCTGGAGATCCAAGTAAGATAAATTTGTGATAAACATCGATCGATCCTTAAAAGGGAGGGGGCACTGTAGGTTTATGTTGGCCGGTTTGAAGTTTGAACAGCTAGGCCTAGGCCAATATTCAATTTGGCTTTACCTGAAGTGAAGTCGCCCCAATAAGCTATATACGCAATAATGAATGAACAAAGTGGTCATTAATTTTTCATCAATATATCGTAGTAGATATGGTTGATCTGCAGTAGTACGTAGCATATATATATATATTACTGGTACTGAGTAAATTGAATGTGATTATTAATTGTGTTCTCCCAGGACACGCTGAGATCTACTCCAGCAGAGAACAAGGTGATGAAGAAGGCTACCATGATAAGCGTGTCGATAACAACTGTGTTTTACATGCTGTGTGGTTGCATGGGCTACGCTGCTTTCGGGAACGATGCACCAGGGAATATGTTAACAGGCTTCGGATTCTACGAGCCCTACTGGTTGATTGACCTAGCAAATATGTTCATCGTGGTGCACCTAGTGGGTGCATTTCAGGTTCTTAATTACTTTCAACTTTCATCTCGTAGTACGTAGTAGCTAGGTAGCAGTGAACATGCATTATATTAGTAACAGAAAACTTGGATAATTTATTTTAAGTTAACAGGTTATGGATATATAGATGTCTGTGGAGCAGGTGTTTGGGCAGCCATTTTTCGCGGCAGTTGAAGCATGGGCCGGCAGGCGGTGGCCGAATTCCAAGTTGATAACTGGAGAGTACCAAGTATCGAGGAAATACATGCGCTATAGCATGAATATGTTCCGGCTAATCTGGAGGAGTTTATTTGTGATAGTGGTGACGGTGGTTGCCATGTTGATGCCCTTCTTCAATGAGATTGTTGGACTCCTAGGAGCCATAGGGTACTGGCCGCTGTCTGTCTACTTCCCTGTGGAGATGTACATTTCTCAAAAGAAGATTGCAAGATTTACGTCCCTGTGGGTAGCGCTCCAGCTACTCAACCTTGGCTGCCTGCTTATTACCCTGGCCGCAATCTGTGGCTCCATCCAAGGGATTATTGAGGACCTCCGTGTTTATAAGCCCTTCAACTCCAAACAATAGCACAACCACGCACCTTCTGGCTTCTTCAGGCACTAGCTTTTTTTTATTTATTGTCATTTGTCTCTGTGTGTAGGAGATTATTTAATTAGGGTGCTATCTAGCTAGTTTTTGTTTTTCATTTTCCACACTAGTTTTGTCTGCTGACGCTTTTTTTTTTTTTTTTCAAGTTCTAAGTGCTCCATTGCCTCCATCCCTTAGGTATGGTTAATTTGGTTTATGGCCTTATGGGGGACCGGAGGGGACAATTTAGGTTATTAGTAGCACTGAGGATTTCAGTTTTGGCAAGGTTATCCAATTTGGTGGAGGACTGACTAGTGGGCCGGGTGCTTTTATTTGAAGAACCAAATGCCATTCAGATTAGCTTCCATCCATATATGCTTCTTCATCAAAACTTCCGCGCGCAGACTCTACAACCTACAATCAATTCTTTTGCACATTCACACCATTTTTCAGTATTCACCTGCCCAATCTTGTATTCTTGTGAGTAATGAGGCCTCCTGGTATGGTCAAGAGAGTCGACGTTGGGATTTAACAAATTTAGTAATAATTTTATTTTATTTTTTATGATGATGATGATGAATAGGAATATAATTACTATTGGCAAGTAGAAAACAGAAAGAAAGAGATACATATAAAGCACACAAACAACAAATAGATATTTACATGGTTTGCTTGGCTTATAGCTTACCACGAAAATCCACCATGAGTTCACAGGCTCTCACCAAAACACTGACTGGTTTCCAATACACCCAAAGTTCAAATTCTTGCCCTCTTACTTGACCTCCACGATATAAGATGTATTCATTTGTAACATACAAAGGCTATTTATAATTATAACGAGAAACCCACCCTAAACTGGGTTGGCCCTTTCAAACTGCTAAGAACTGGATCTCGCCAGTCCCAGAGATCTCACTGCGAATATAATTCAAACTCGTGAAATCGTGATACTAAACTACTACAGTCTGCAAGATCATCCCAATACGATCTGTGATTATAACCTACTACGTGACCAATTGACATGCTATTCTACCTAATGGTACATAGGTTCCCTTCATAAATAACTTAAATATTAATTTCCATATCCAAACTAGATATTTGCTCTCATCTATCCATCTTCCCGTTCTACTTGGGATTAAACATGTCTGCATAGCAATCCAATAACCCAACTTGATAAATTAGCAAGAATATTTTTGGCTGTTTCTTCCTAATAAGTCCTGAAAGTTTAGAAGAGAAATATTTCACGCAGAACCGCAAAGCTGAGAAACTTGAATCACTACTCACTAGTAGTTTTCTATTCTAAAAAAAGAAAAAGAAAAAAAAAAAACGAATCATGTATATGAATTTATATTTCAGCTTAAAGATGATAACACTTTAAGCTTCGAGTGCAAAACATTTAAGCTTATAGAGCTAAAAATAAATTCATTCTGCATGCAAAAAAAAAAAAAATTGGTATTCTCAGAGCCGGTATAAAAACCTTTAACCAATCCAATTTGAATATGAATGAATGCAACAAACAAAACACACAAGTACCACAAATCTCATAGTTGGTATTAAACAAAGCTCTTCACAGTGGCAATTGCTAGGGTTTGAACCGAGTGGTATCAAGGTTTTGGACTGAGAATGGAACCAAGATTGCCAAACAAAAAATGACACCCTTGGCAAAAAGTTTCTTGCATCTACAAATTGGGCTAATTGGTCCGTCTGCAAAACTTACAAGATCGTATTCATACCGAGATGTGAAATCCATGTGCATTCAATTAGTAAGAAAAATATTCCAGTCTCCGCATCCTGAGGTTGGCACATTGGTAGATAACATCTATGGTGCAGGGAGATCAGAGACAGCTATTATCTGCCATTTGCTTGGTGCTTTTGTTTTCTTTGTTCTACCTATCGTAGCTGCTTTTCTTTTAATTTTCTTTCTATCCAGTCAAAGAAAAGGGTAGAAGTGTAAACTTATTTGGGTCACTCATGGTGGTTTACCAGGACAACAGGGCATCTAATCAGACAGAAGTTTTCCAACATATACGGAGTCAACGTAACATCCTGTCTCAATGCCTCTATCTCTTAATAGTCCTAATAATCATAACAGAGATTCTTAAAAGTTGTAACTGAACCTCTGATCTGATTTGGTTGTCAAAACTTTCAGTTAATGAATAATGACTGATGACTCTTCCAGATCCTTTAGATTCCTTAGATTGTTTCACCTGTATTGATGTTAATTTTTATTCAGAAGAGATGAGTTCACACTGATCAACCTATCTTGACTTTTTAGTGTTTACCCATTAGACATTTCATCTCCCGTTTGTTCACAGTTTTCCTAACTGCACTTCTTCGGAGAAGGAAACTTTAGTCATACCGAAGAAGTTTGGTTGAGCAAGAATTTGTAAAGAAAAATGAAAAGCACAGACTTAATTCCAGTCATGAGATACAACTATTTATTTCCTTTGGGGAACAATTTGCAAATAATAAGGAATAACTGGTAAATCCAAACTAATGGTTCATCCACAGCTTAAACAAACAATATGAAGCATTGCTCTCTGCCAGGCTCCCTCACAGATCATACCTCAGTAGTGTAGTATATAATGGACACTACAATATTAACAAGGGTTTGACTATGATAACAGAACTTCCAATCAACTGGTATCATAAAAGTGGTAACCCATCAGCTGGTATTCGTCAAAATTCATCGTCAGGGGGTGATTGGTTAAAGGTCTACTGGTATCATACCTTTCCAGCACCATAGATTTACCCTATTAACAATGTTAATAAATTGGCATATGTCAAGAGATACCTCTCAAGAATGAACTCAGCTGTGTAATAGAAGGCTTTGGAGGCCAACATCTAGAGGCCCATCTTAATGAGCAGCCTTGGAGAATTATGCCCCAAAAAGTTAAGTAAACATGACATGACACCTTACTTAAGAAGTTATGCTTCATATAACAATCAAAATGAGGTTCCTGACACATTATAAAGACTTAAATGACCACTTACATTCATATCCATAATTTCTAAATTTTCTTTCTAAAATTTCATTCATCTAATGTTTTTTGTAATGAAAGGTGTATTTATTTACAAGCTTCAAATAGCAACACTACAACACTGATTACTCCAAATACAGTGACTTAGGAACACAGAAAACAGAAACACTTCATTTAATGGAATTTTGGATTTCTAAACCTTTCTAAGGTTGTATATAACCTTAATTTTTTCTCTAATAAATGCTGAAGGGTAAAGCCTTCTTTGTAACCATTTCTTGGAATTTATATTTGAAATCTAAATCATCCTTCAATAAATGCATGTATTAATGGCTAAACATTTGATCTAAAGACGTGTATATGTGCAGAGGAATCTTAGTTAAGGTATTTCCTTGCATGTTTCAACTTTATTTTCCTTTTTTGTCTGTTTGATGATCAAATCATATAAAAGGTGTCATAGAAGTATGCGTTTATATCAGAAGTTTCTATAGATTTTTATAGCTGTCTCATTTTGGAACTATTTTGACCAAAACCATGATGCTCCAACCATGGACCGCAAAAGTTGTTTCTCACAGCACTGGCGATCCTTGTACTTTTGCTTTTCAATACATTGAAACGGACAGAAACTTGCTGCCAATTACTATGTCCCTGCTTCAACCACAAGTTGTTCTGCATGCCTACAGGAAGCCCCTTCCATTACAGCCAGTTGGAATGCCAGAAATGTAACACCTTAGGGTACAAAAGTATACCGTTGACAATACAGAACTCTGTGTGCCCCTAAAGAGAAGTATGCCTATGGTAGGATGGAAATACCAATGTGAACCTTTTGGTAAATCAAGGGGAGAAATTCCACCATAGTAAGTGAGAAATAGTTCCATTGTACCTGCTTTTCAAAAATAGGAAAGAAGGTGGGCTTCTACAGGAACTTTTCACTCTAATGCCTAGATACATATTTACACACAAAATCTGATACATGAAATATACACAGGACCTCATGCATCAAAATCTAGGACATGTATACAAGAGTTACCCAATATGTAAAATTTGTTAAGATAGAATAACTTTAACTGGTTGTTGACAAGGAATAAATAAACTTAAAGGAGATAAACAGGAAAAATATAAAAACACACCTATACTCTAGAAGTACCCACGTATCTTGTAAGTTCTGGCTTTGATGTCATATGGAGTCAATTCAAGTACACTAAATATGTTAAGATATTCTTGCACTACCATCCAAGGTAAAAGAAAAAAAAAAAAAAAAGCCAGACCTCAATTCTCAACTCGATGGAACTCAGAAAGCCTTAATGGGGTTGGTTCCATGAATCCTGTCTTAGCATTGCACTATGTGAAAAGCCATCTCATATTATACTTGTACCTCTAAGAAAAGGGGAAAAAATGAAACATGTGATTCCTATTCCATCTAATACTACACTGTGAAACAAAATAATAATAATTATATGATAATGCCTTTACAAGAGAAACTTGATCTTATAAACCCATGGAAAACAAAAATTGCTAAACAGCTCAACTTAATTGCAACCCTGAGGTGATGTCAAATCAAGAACCTTTAAGATCATGGAAGATTGATACTGTTTAAACATAAAAAGAGAAATAGGTAGAGAATATTTAACAGTGGAGACCCCCAACACTGCTGGATCCTTCTTCCCTAAAAAAATATTAGTAATGGTAATCATATTCAGAATACAGTCATCATCATTAAAGACTTGTCCCAACTATATGGGGTCAGCTACATGAATCCTGTTCTGACATTCTGTTCTATTCAGTGCCACATACATTGTTATAAAAAATGATAATAGTGAGATTTTTTCAAAAAAATAAAAAACAAATATACAAAAAAAGAACAAGAACAAGGTATAGATGCAGAGAGAACAGGATGGCATCAAAACACCTGTTCTCTAAGCACTAGGGCCTTGGTGTGATCACTTTTCAGTTGGCATGTTTCTAGACCCCCAATGCAGATACTAAGGTACCAATGCAATGCATTTTCTAGACTACTGGGTATGT